GCGAGTAGGCGAAGTAGGCGCGTCAGGCGAGTAGGCGAGTAGGCGATTAGGCGATTAGGCGGCATTTGCACACGGCGCACTCCTTAGTCGTCAAAATTGAGGCGCACATGCATATTAGCTTCTCACCCATACACTAGACTACTAGTTGGTAAAAGCAGATCTTGTCAAAGTGTTGCATACAATCCAGATATCACCTAATCGCCTACTCGCCTAATCGCCCGAAATAAAGAGCACCCCATACTACCTCGCCTGATCGCCTACTCGCGTACTCGCCTAATCGATACGTATCCTTTACTCATCGCCTGATCGCCTACTCGCCTAATCGCCTACTCGCCTACTCGCCTAATCGCCTAATCGCCTACTCGCCTAATCGCCTAATCGATCCGCATACTTTTCATTTTGAATCATCGCCTACTCGCCTAATCGCCTAATCGCACGTACGATCGCCAACTATGAACGCTCCATAAAGGAGTGTCAATGGCTTGATAAGGCGCCAGAACCCTTTGAGAGAGCAGCACCACCTACGCATCGTAGGTGAAAGTGGTTGCACAAGCAGCAGACTTGGTATGATAGCGTTATCGTTGTAGCCCGAATTTCATTCTGGAGGGCACCCAATCATTCCAATCGACCGTACCTTCTTACCAGTTTGGCGGCGCACGCATTCGCGTGTATCAGACGGGACTGCAGTTGTATTAAACTGGGTGGATTGACTTGCAGAGGCCCTCCACATGAAATTGGAGATTAAGAACGCGACGCTCATCCGGCGAGCATGGCCTTTGGAACAGGGTCGGTCCTATCGTTGCTACTTTTCGAAAAATTTTTACGACCCCCCTCCCCCAAGGTGGATTTGATACGACCCCCTTTTCCCTACCTCCACCATCTCCATCTTCCATCAAAACCCCGCCCACTTTTTCCTCCAAAAATGCCGTCGTATATAGTCAAACATACGTCGGGTATAAAGTCCACTGCTGACCAGTAATAAATTATCTCCCAAAATTTCGCCTTACTAGTTTCCGACGCCCCAACTTCTCAATGCCAACATTTTTTAAACACTATTTACTATACTCCCACTACTTCCTTTTCTAGGGAAATATATACGCGCGCGCTGAAACGGCAAATTTTCTCCCGCGCCGCTCCCCACTCATCACATGCAACTTCTTACAACCGAAGCAAGTACGACCCCCCCTCTACAAACTCATCAAAATACGACCCCCCCCCGTTGCTACTTGTAGCAACATAGGGTTGACCCTGCTTGGAACCACTGATCGAGCGTGAAGTAACGAATGCACCATCACCATGCTAGTATTCCCCCTATGAAGGTGGGGGAGGGAGGCGGAACGGGTAACACAAGTTCAACATGTAGAATGGACGGTTGACTTGCGTAAATATAAAGCATGAAGCGTAAATATGTCATATTTTTCAGGAATTTTCCATCCCTGAGGCAGCTTTTATTTAGCGAAAAAGGAGATTCCGGTCTCGAGTATACCGCAATTAGATCTCCTTAATTTTAAATAAATCTTTCATCGCCTAACAAATCAAGGGGTAGCGTAAGTTCACCGGAATCAAACCGACTCACATCATCCAGTCGATCTTTCGCTTCCTTACTGACGCCAATGAGGAAAAGAATATCGAAGCGAAGTGGTGGTGGTAAGGTGGTCGTTGTGGGCACAGACGACGTTGAAACCACAGGCCAAGGTGACGTCGCGATCGTTGTCGTTGTGTTTAATCCACCGCAGTACTTTCCACCGTTCGCACTGAAATCGTCAAACATATCAAAAAGTTCGAATTCCTAACTCATCAATCCATAAGCGAGAATTTCTGCCGACCTTCTGATCAGTTATTTGTCCCCTGACAGGCACAGGAACCCTAAATTGCTTACACGCAATGCAAAAATATTCTTTGTAAGGCGGAAGTGGTGTCAATGACAATGCGCGCTCATCCACGCGCTACCTTGAAGAGGCTGTTTTTGAAATATCCCACGCGGTTTCGAATGAGCTTAAGAAAGCGGAAATTCTTGTGAGGCATACCAGAACGATTACACCACTATACATCAGTATTTGGAAACGAAAAATAAGAATTGGACGGGGGAAGACTAGAGGAGTTCACGTACAGTATACATCAACAGAAAAAAATCAGACTTTACCTATAGAGCTTAGTCAATTTTTTACGGCTGCGTAACCGTAAAACTATGGCTAAACTCCATAGGTAAGTTCAGTAACTGCTTTGATCTGGTGCTGGAAAGCACAATTACGATTTCAAACTAACTGATGCCGAAAATGACAACAACCCTCATCATAGCAAATGCTTTGATTACTCAATATGTTACTTGCAGGCAAGGAACTGTTGAACTATTTGAGTGGGCATCTGATGCCTTATCAATTCAACAACGTTCGCTGTTGTGCTGGTCCATTGTCTCGCTACTTCTACCGAATCGTGATGAATTGCTGCAGTTTATAAGGTAGCATTCAAGAAATGTTCACGTTTGGTTCCTCTTAATAGCGCTGAATGATTTTTAGTCGACTTTTACGACGGGTATTGGCAACGTGTTCCGCAGAAAATGTTATGCGACAAGATTCCCTTACCACGACGATGCTAACACAAACGTTGCGTATAGGTGGTCGATCACGACTAGAAGAGGCGCTTGATGCAGTTGGGATGTCTAATGTGAAGCTTCTGCAAGTTAGTCGTAATATCGTTGGTGATCGAAGTTTGATTTTTTACGATAAATCTTTGCAGCCGGCGGATATGGATAACGTAATCGAAATGCTCGATAAACTTGTGGCCCCTGATTCGTTAGTGAACGATCTACTCGTAACTGTCGCCCGCGTTGCCGCTGAACGATTTCCTGATGAACCACATATATTGAGAAGAGTTTTAAGGTTGGTTGTTTCAATCTTCTCTTGAGGTGATTACGAAACGGTAGTTAGTATAAAATGATTTTGCCTATTTGATTTCCGAACCTAGTAATATTCGTTCATTTTGACACAACATAATTTTTCAGTAACGTATTCATTTTGCGCTTCGTCAATCCGCTATTAATATCTTACATGAGTGGTGAGTAAAAGATTTTTTTTTGTGAAATTTTTTTCGCTTACGTATATATTTATTTATATTAACAGCCAATTTACAGCACACGGCTGACATCACACCGTACGCGCTCTTTATCCAACATTTTCAGGTAATTGCTGCACACCACACTGGCAACAGGCTGTGCACAGCAGCGGCCACGTTGCTGGCGGCAGCATTCAGCTCTAACAACGTTTAGAAAACGATGTTAACGGTATGGAGTCTCAGTGCTAACGTGCCTCCTTTCTTGAACGTAGTCAGGGGCTGCGCTGCTCGCTTCTGCTGAACCAAGGTGATAGAATTTCAAATTTTATGTTCCAAGCAAAGCCTTCTCTTTCTGAGCTCCATCTGTTAGGTTGTTTTAAGCCTTTAATTCATTGCGTTTGTTTCGCTTCTTAATATTGAAGCAACAATTCAATCAAATTGATGGGATACTAGCGTTGAATCGAATATTTAGTATTGCATTGTTATAGGTTGATCAAAACTACAGTGCGTTCAAAAGATTTACCCCTAAACATTGGCCCCCCCCACCAATACAGTTTGCAGAAAGGCAACCATGAGTTTCGTGCTATGAATCCTTCTATCGAATCTTTACGTAGAATCGAGGTATACTCTTATCAATCGGAACGAAATAGGTTTCATCGCCTTCACTTTCGGATTAAAATTTTTTGTGATCGAAAATATTTTTCTTTGTCTTCAAGAATTATTCTTTGCAGCACTTACAGAAGAATCAGATTTTTGGTATCGCCTTGAACATCCTCTCCTCAATATTCAGATCGCGACATGTGCTGTTTTTTACTTCGTCATCATGTCAAATTCGCGCTCAATACTTCTCTCCTACGAAGCTGAGCAAACGCTCAGACCAAGGTTGCTCGCAATCGATATATGAAAGTCTCCAGATCTAAAGAAATCAGCGGATAGTAACTTGGTCTGTTTTTGATTGCTGGGGCTATAATCAGGCATTCGATAGATTCGTAGTCGACCCCGCGCTAGACTAACACTTCAATAACTCAGCACGCACTCTGCTCCATCCACGATCCTTACTGCTCAGAACAACAAAAGAGTAGCACACATCCTGTCGAATTCTTCATTGAGAGTCCGAGCTCAGATTTTTATTCCAGCCTCGAAAATAACCACTAAGTCCCTCATCCGCGTGTCAAAGATCGGATATAGCACCCCACATCGACAGAAGCCTGAAGACAGGTCTCTCAGTCTTAATGCCCACCCAGCAAAGCTACTAGCCGAGCATTGGAGCAGCTGCTACGTACGACACAGCAGCACTACATGAGGACGTGGACAGACCGGAGAACGTTTGCGGAAGAGACCCACGGATTGACGTAATTTATTCCGAACAGCTTTCTCCCCGTATCTTTCAAAACAGACGCACTTTGACTCGCAGGACCGTCTTCGTGCTCAGATTCCGGCAAACAGGTTACATGATGTACGATCGTAAGAATGCCACGTGAACTTTGTGGGTTATGGGGGAATCGGTGGCTGCTGAGGGGGCGTGTCGCCCCGTAATCCTTAACTCATGAAAGAGTTCGATCTTGACGGGCCGGGTGGATTTCGCTACTACTGGACAGGCTTGGCCGTGAGTCGCTCGTGCTCTCGAAGAAAGGAATTTCGGAAAGGCCCGTTGATTGGGTCTGCGGCGGTTTCGCAATCAGCGGAAGAACCACAAACACTAAAAAAGCATAGACAAATAAACAAAAAATCCGAGAGTATGGGCACATAATCATTTATTGGCGTATGAACTGTAAAATACCAAGCAGTGCTCCAATGTCACCTGTTGCCCTTCCTTAGCGAAGCGGAGCGAAAATTGCATTTTTAGCAACAGGACCACGTGTCTTTCGATGCTTCGCAATCTACCAAAGAATGGCCTTAACCAAATGGTGCTGAAGCGATAGATTGGCTTGTGTGTCCTCCTTACTGCAACCCTATAGGGAGCCCTTGATCAAGGCGTTAACTTTAGCAACCGGCAGTATAATACCGCGGATGAACTGAAGGCGGCGGTAGAGGCTATTTTGGCCGACAGCGACGAAACAGCTATGCCAAACGTGGTTCAGATTATGCCGGACAGGATGTTTGAGCTAATTAGAAACTCTGGAGGCCCCACTGATTTCTAATCTCAGCTATGTTTTTGTCTTTTGTTAAGTGTGCACATACTTTTGAAACAAAGAAAAAAATTTCATCCAAAATTTTTTTTCCGAAAGTGAAGGCGATATTATCTGCTTTGCTTCCATTGATAGGTTATCGACTACGAGAAATCGATTGAGAAGGATTTCATAGCACGAGACCTCGGCGCGCCCCGCCGCTCTGCATAGTCTGCCTGTTCACACGCGACAACTTTTGAGGTGTGCACATACTTTTGAAACGCACTTGTGATATTACGCGCCTGAGATTAAGCCCTACGCGGTGACCCTTTAACGTGTAATGGGGTGCGCATCGAGCTAGCTCGGTCCATTAGCTCACATAGCCGCCATTTATTCCTGTTGTAGTGACGACCTCTAGCACTAGCGCCATGTCCGATATTTGTTTGAGTCTGTGATACTTATGGGCCACCATATCCTCCCACAGAATGGATTGTTCGACGCGAACTCATCTGGCTTTGTTATCTCAATTCGTCCCATGGCACCTATAGTACCGGTTACAAACGGAAAGGACGTGGATGCACAAGGCTGCGTGGTAACTCAGTTGGAATTGTTGTCGTTGAAATAGGATCAATTTAGCTAGAACGTGGTTTAGTGGGACTATGAAAAGGAAGCCAGTAGCTGTAGCAAATGCTGTTATTATTCAGTTAAAAAAGATATAAGCAGTTGCCGTTGATCAATCCCTTTTGGGATGCGGCACGCATTCTACTTCCATTTGTACATTCGTAGTGGCGTTTGAATGCGATGTGGCCTATACAATGACTTGCGGGGCCGATGTACAAGTCAGTGTTTTTATCCTCCCAGACAAGTCTGGTACCAATTAACCGACCCCGGAGGGATGGAAGGCTTGGTTGGCCCGGGCGACTCACGACCCAGGATTTGATCCCTGGACCGCTCGCGTGGTAAGCGGCGCCACTTGGCCCTACACCAATTCCGCCCATATTGGTCAGTTACTGCTGATTACTACTACTATCGCAAATGGCACTGAAATTGCACTTTTCAATTGTCTCAATAATCGGCAATTCCACAATTTATTCTCAATGTATTCATAATAGTAGGATTATTCTATGGAGGGTCTAGCGAGATGTTTTAGCGTGGCAGAGATATATGCATCCTCTTATAGGCACCAGTCAAACCGAGCTATCCCGAAAAATGTTGAGACGCGATGTTGTGATTGGATGGCGATCATCTGCCATCTTCTGCACTATGCTATGACCTCACGTGAAGGAGCACCTCAAGTTGATCCGATTCTACTACAACTTGTAAATGCACATAAATCTTCATATTCCTAGCATAGCAAAGGAAACGATACTACCCCCATGCCGATATCAGCTCATCCAGTGCCCGCGACGCCTCTTCTCTCTGTCTCTCTTCAAATATTTCGCTTCTTTTCCAGATACTCTGTTATAGATGCAAGTAGAACTTTTGAATTATATGATATTATACAATATACATATATCAATAGCATATCATCTGTGAGTATGTCGAGTTCATTAGTGCTTTCTTACCGGAATCACTGGCGCTCCTCAGGTGTGTGTTGTGTTGCTTGATGCCGAGATTCCGGTGCATTTTTCATAATACCGGACATTCAGCCTTGATTACATCACTATAGCTATGTTTTGTTTTCAGAGATTTTTGTGTGGCCTTATTTTGTATTATACAGATGTAAACTATCAACTTCTATTGGTGTTGATATCGTTTTGTCATAACGATGTTTGATGATTGGTTTTCTTCAGTATGAGTGGTTTCTTATTGCCATGTTTGCCTCATTGCCTGTTTTGCAGTTTAAAAAGCTTGCTCGAAGCTCACATCATTGCACGCCTCGATGGCGAGTTCAGGAGTAAGTTCTATTTCTATCTTTTTTTTATTGTGAACCAAGTCAGCTAATACCATTATTACTGTAGAATGGTGATAGTTCTGGCTGCTAGCATAAGATTAATTGTGTGAAAAGCGCTAGATGGACGAGTTCTGTCACATCAATTGTTTCGTATGGTATGGGTGGGATGCACTTATATGAGTAGTTTCTCTTCAGTCTTGTTACGATAGACTAGTTTACGAATAATTGCGTTCGTGGGTGGTGTGGGAACCTTGTAACATCCCATAACGTCTGACGAGCGTGTCGGTGCGTTCTCTACTTCGATTTCGCTTTGATCTTTTTGTGAGATGAAAATATGTTCTTTTAAACGCTTCACTCGTCCATCAAGTGCTTCAGTAATGTATCGCAAATTTCTCCACTAGCAGTACTCAGGTTTCTTCTTTTTTTCATCTCGTTGTGCTCATTTTGTCACTGTAATGCGTGCCTGTTCATTCGTATTATCATTTTATCAGCATCATCACATCATCAGTTGTTTTCATCTAGTTGCGGGCCTTCTCATGTCATTATATCGGTTTTGATACCTCGTTTGCCTTATTATTACCGTTGGTCATTGATTGAGATCGATCTAATAGTAGATTACTATTTGAAAAAAAAACCCCATCAGTTTTCGCTTCTGTATAGTTTTCTTTTCCATACGTATGGCTAATCACTTATCGATTACTCGCCACATGATTTCATTTTATGGAATGTATGTAGTCATTTCGATCAGGCGTTGCTATCCGCTTAATTGTGATCAGCTATTTGTTTTTCTCTTGCTAATAACTCTGTAAATAGTTTAAAACGTACAGCTATGGTGATCGATGCTGATGATGAACGAAGGGTTCTTGCTTTGTTCAGAGAAAGATCTGTTTCCCGAGTTAGGCGGTAGGTGACCTGTTTTATAGTAATAAGCATTCAACACATACCGATTTTACTTGTTGAAATCGAACTAGTTCATGTATAATGTGTAATGATCACAACTTATAATAGAGCATAATAAAGCCTATTGATTTCCCTTTTATCTATAGGTGAGTTTTCGGTAATACCTTCAAAAATATTTGCACAGCAAAACCATACTTGTCTCGATTTTAGATTTGAGAATAGTTTTAGGTTCCAAATTTCAAGTCATTTTCAAAAAATTTTGGCATTGAGGGGTTCGGCTGTTTCTCAAAGATCGGCAATACTTTTTCGCTTAATTAACTTCTGGGTGCAGCCTCTTGCAGGTTTTGGGTCGATTCCAGCAACGGGATGGGGCCTTAGTTGGAGAGCACTCAGACTTTTGAAACGACGGGAAACCTTCTATCAAATTGCAAATGCTAAAATGTGGTGTACCTAGTTTCCTCTTTCCCGAAGAGAACAGGTTCATCCATCACTCCTTCCTCTCCAGGAATTAAGATTACTATAATCCGCAAGAACCATTGCATCAGAATACCATTCGCTTCGCCACAGGAATGTGGGCACTCGGCTAGCTGTGTTGCACGGAGAAATACCTCTTGGTATATGTGATACTTTCGAAGGAGCACCAACATGACTAGCCAGGGGTACCCGACAGGAGGCCCGTCGCGCGGCAAGAAGGCAGAGTCGGCGGACGAGTCGCAGCGCGTGATGTGCGATGTAGGACGTGCAATGGTACATTCTATTTAACTTGACGCGAAATCCTACAGTACGCGACTCGTCCGCTGACTCTGCCTTCTTGCCGCGCGACGGGCCTCCTGTTGGGTACCCACTAACAGGGATCGGAATATTTACCCAAAACGCCTAAATATAGACTATCAAAACACCACAAATCATGGGAATGCTGAGGAAACTTGGGGCAATATGGTGGTTGCCGTTGATGAAAAACGGGACGAAAAGCTTAGAACGATAAAATTCTGGCGTAGACCAATCCCAGTTCCGGGATGGGTTACCTGTGTGCTTCCTTTCGGAATTGTACCAGTACTGGAATGCGACATGGGATATGCAGGAGTGAATGCTGCGGTCGTTGATGTACAACTCAGTATTTTTCCCTCCCGGACGACTCTGGTACCAATAATCGATTCTGCAAGGGTGGAAGGATTGGTTAATTGAGGTTTGATCCGGTATTTCACCCCTGGGTTATGCTTATGGCTTCACATGCCATTGTTTAAATAGACTCTGTCAGATATGGAAGAGTTACACAGTTTCGTGGTCCAATAGCCTGTATCCCTCGCCTAGCCGGCGAAAGATAAGCCTGCCGCTCTTGGTCTCGGTCTTTGCTACATGACCGCATGCATCACATAATGCCGTCGGGCGATCCTTGAACACCATGAAATGGAACCAACAAACTGTTTTCTGTTCTTATAACATTTTAACGATCGCTATCTATGTCACAGTGATTTTTTCGGCTGAGAGTCGTTTGTTTTCAACTCTTTCTTTGAGTTTCGTTGAATTCTATGGTTCTCATTTCTTAACACTGACGACATGGACGTTATATGTGGCCTTTACGGGAGACTGTTTTACTATAATATTCTTTCAACGTTCATGTCGCAAAACGGTGCCTCTGTGCATTATCAAGGATTAAGAAGCAAATGCACATAATCAAACTATGAGATGAATATATTCAGATATTGGTTAAGAATTAAGTCAGTGATTAATAAACGGTGTGGGAAAACATATAGGCTGAGACATGGTTATATACACAAAAACGGCTGTGTTAACGTTGAGTTAAGTCATTGTCCATAGTTGTAAATTAGTCTATTCTTCAAGGCTAGCTATGGAACTAGGATAAAAATAATAGGATACAAGCATTTGCCGTTGATCAATCCCTTTGGGATGCGGCACGCATTCTACTTCCATTTGTACATTCGTAGTGGCGTTTGAATGCGATGTGGCCTATACAATGACTTGCGGGGGCCAGCCGATGTTCAAGTCAGTGTTTTTTATCCTCCCAGACAAGTCTGGTACCAATTAACCGACCCCGGAGGGATGGAAGGCTTGGTTGGCCCGGGCGACTCACGACCCAGGATTTGATCCCGGACCGCTCGCGTGGTAAGCGCGCCACTTGTCACTACACCACTTCCGCCCATGGAATAGTAATATGAATTTTGGACTAGATAAGATGACAGTATTGGTTGCATTAACTTCTGATAATCATAGTTGCTACTGCTAGTCTGAAGTAGCTGCGAGGTACGAATAATTCACCTATTTCATAGAGGTGAATCCATTTTGATATTTGTAAATTCAATGTTACCTTAACATCTGTCCGTGCTAGCTCTTTATACTCCGCATTCCTTTTAATGTCTCTTTCAAGGAATGATCCATTTTTCATTTCCGCATCTTTTTGATGATCAGTACACTTCGAAGTTCTTATTTTGAGTATTGCAAAGAACTAATGTTATATCTTTTTAGTTCCTGGTAGTATCAGGTGATATCAGATGATGGCTGAAGTTGTATCGTCTGGCGTTGCTTTCGAGGCGTCAAAGTGTCCTTGAGTGACACTCACAGGGTATGCAGATTCTGTAAGTTTCAGAGAAGCATCTGGGACTAAATGCGTCAAGATCGTAATTTCACTTTCGGGATAAGAGGATTGAAAGTGGATGGGGCTCAGGGGTGCCACGGAGGGGAGCGACTTCAGGCGATTACGTGGATTAAAGGATAAAGCATTTGCCGTTGATCAATCCCTTTTTGGGATGCGGCACGCATTCTACTTCCATTTGTACATTCGCAGTGGCGTTTGAATGCGATGTGGCCTATACAATGACTTGCGGGGGCCAGCCGATGATGTAAGTCAGTGTTTTTATCCTCCCAGACAAGTCTGGTACCAATTAACCGACCCGGAGGGATGGAAGGCTTGGTTGGCCCGGGCGACTCACGACCGCAGGATGTTGATCCCGGACGCTTCGGTGGTAGCGCACACTGCACTAACATTTCGCCAGCTCACTAAAGGCATAATATAAATTATGCATCTGGTATAGATCATGCGTGCTATTCAAAAATGCACATGAAGCATCGTATGAAGAGTGATGGGCGTGAGAGGAGGAATCACGATGGTTGGCCAAGCATTGTACCCGCGGCCAATCAAGCATGCTTCTTCAGCCCTGCACCCAGGGTCAACCCTACGTTGCGCAAAGAACAACGAGGGGGTCGCATTTGGCCGAACGAAAGGGGGGGTCGCATACAGAGGGACCAGGGGGTGAAAGGCTGGGAGGAATGGTCCCGAAAAGACATGCAGCATGCATGCATTATAAGTCTCACCATCGCTATCTCATCCTCAATACACGGACCGCACTTTCGAAACATTCCTGAAGTCTCAAGGAGACAAAGTGTAGAGCAGTTTCATGGGAAAGTAAAACAACCATCAAACCACAAAGCACACAATGGTACCGCAAAACATACAATACAATTCGATCATGTACTATCAGCTTCTCGGAAAGTGGAGGCTTCAATGCGAGTGGCGACTTGTCACAGCCAGACGGGTGCACGGCGTACAGACGGCGTTGTTCCCCATAAAAACGGCCTTCTTGTGGCGGCCGTCGGGAGCACAAACTTCTCTAGAATTTGTGATGCTTATCAAATCTAAGCGGAACAAAATGTAGCGAACTTGCTGAATTGAAAAATTGAATTTCTTATGAAATTGAAGCAGAAGAAAGAATTCATGAAAAGGTGAAGCTAGTAATAAAGTACTCCTCGCGTAGAATCTAATGGTTTTACCTTCTTTAGGCACAACCTAGGCGAGTGTGTGAACGCTTCTCTTTGGTCTCTAGTATAGACCTCTAGAGGACAATCACAGATGTGGCGTCCTCATGCACGGAAACCGACCGATAAGTGCGCTTGGGCCTGACAAAAGTAAGCTGCCCAAGCTGCCGACTTTTTTTTTCTTATCAGGCTGTTGTCTGGCGCTCTCTCATCTGTAGTGCTCTCTCGCCTCATACTCTCCCCTTCCGCGCATAGTCTCTCATTCCCTTAGCACAGCCGTCAGGAAGGTGAGTGAGCCCTTGACCTAAGCGTTTGGCGACTTTCAGCTTTTTTTTCACTTTAAAGAACGGCCGAACTTCCACTAGTAAGTCAGATTCGTGGCACATGGGACCACGACAATGTTTACCGCTTCTCATTTGATGAAGTTTGAAGGAAGTTATGGGTTCTTGAATATTGCAATGTCGCGGTTCAGACGAAAGGCTTGAAAAAAAGTCTATGAAATTCAACGGAACGACGGCACTATTTTTTGAACGAGTGATTTTTCAAAAAAGTTTTAGCCCTTATTCGGAAGCTCTAATCTTCTAGTTTCTAATTAGCCTTAGACATTCGCAAAAAGTTGAATACGAAGGAAGTTATAAATGCTTTAATGTCGGAAACTCGCGCTTTCTCAAAAATCGGACCCAAACCCTTATCGAACGGAACGACGGGACTATTTTTTGAAAGAATGATCGCTAGAAAATTTTCAGGTGATTGTTTCGAAAGCGCTAATCTTCTAGTTTCTAATTAGCCTTAGACATTTGCAAAAAGTTAATTATGAAGAAAGTTATGAATGTTTGAATGTCGAAAACTCGCGTGTGCACAGAAAACGGAACGACGGTACGATTTTTTTAAATATTGAACATCCGCAACATTTCAAATGTTTTTTTGAAAGAAAACTATTTGCATTTTTAAAATTTTGGTGTCCGGTTCCATGAAAACGCCTGTGGACGAAGATATAAGGTTTCAAAGAAGGCGCCCGTAACTATTGGAGATTAAGATTTTCCAGCTTCTACAAGAAACACGGTTGGACGTTGACGGAAATCTTGGCACATACCTGAAATTAGAGACCACTAGGAACATAACGGTACCTAGGTTTACAAAAAATCCTCTCAATTCCTCTAATAAAACTTTTTCATATTTCATTGCCTCAAATCCGCGTCCCAAGCGAGTGGAAAACGCGCTCCACCCCACCTCGCGTCGCGGTATGGGCGCGAATTCTTACATTCAAACTTAGATAATACTATTTAAATACTAGTTTCCTGCCTATTTATTTCTGTTAAGGAATGTTTCTGTTCTCTTTTTGTTAGGGAACCCTTCCGTACTGCTTTAGAGGCCGTGCTAAAGGCCTCTAAAGCAGTACGGAAGGGTTCCCGGCGCTATTGCATTATTACAACCCCAGTAGGGGGTGTCAAAATTTTTTTCGCTGAAACTTCGTCTATTGGGGTTATCGGAGGTCCTGATCACGAATATCAGATCTATTTTTGACGTTGATACACACAGAGTTCACGCGTAACTGAAAACACACAGTGTGACATAGGAGGAGTCGCATGACACCTTGAAAATGGAGGGGGTGAAAAAATTTGCGATGTTGCGCGACGGCAGGGTTGACGCTGGTCCCCCGACGAGGCTGCCGTCATCGCGGCTTTACCGCTCAAGCGTTCTTGCTTCACACATTGTGGGATCTGAGGCTTTCTGTTGCCAGGACTGCTACAGAAAGTGCACCTGACACGTCGTGTGCTTCCGCCTTGACGTGCTCGGGCAAGCTGTATCCACTCAATCTCTCTGGGAACAAGGCACGATGGCGGCTTGGGAAGAAAACGGGTGGTGTTTTGGTGGTCTGGTGGTTTCGCGATTGCGGCCAGCAGTAACTATGTGCAGGAGCAGCTCTGGAAACTGATCAAACTCATAGTGGCTTCAATTCAGGAACTCAAAAATGAGCGTCGAAATTGCGCGTTATCATAGTATGAACAATGGTGTCGTCCAATAAAAATAAAAATATGAATGAGTAAGTTAGCAAAATAATTCTTTAGCAATGTTCTCAAATGCGACATGCAGTTTGGAGCTTATATTCCGGACCACAAAGACGGCGAACTCCTGCCTGGACTATTTTATCTATCTGGTAAGAATCTGATATATTCCTCTCGAGGACATTGAGTTACTATGTTCTTTGAAGAGTTACGATAATTTTACAGGGCTAACATGTACTCATGCAAATTTTATGGAAAAGTCAGGCTTCCAAAAACACGCGAGTGACCACAGTGAGCGTGTAGCTTCTTTATTCGAATTTATTCTTCGCTGTGTTGTTTTCACTTCTCTTTTTACAGTTTTGTTCTCTATTTGAATCTCTTCATTTTGTAGTTTTCACTTGTCGTTGTTCAGGAATGATTGTTGTACATCCCGACACATCTCCTAGATCTGTGGACATTCCTGGAGACAGCGATTCTTGGGACTTCGGCAAAGGTGGGTACATTCATTCGGATCCATTTTCTTTCAGGAATAGAAAGAAAGACTGAAAAATCGGTCAATCAGAGGTATTAGGTCAAGCATGATCATGGAATAACATAGTGGTTTTGAACTCCGGAATAAACATCTTTCTTCGGCAGCCACCGAGTTCCTTTTATTTCTATACACCGGACGCTTCCTTCACTAAGTCATGGCTCTCAGTCAAGGTCAGCCTCATCTTCCGAAAAATTTGAGATCCACCAATCCTCTCGAGGGCCCCCACGCGACATCCCACCACCATCACCACCACTATCCCTGAAGGAATCCTTTCTGCCAGTAATCCTCGCATCATCGCAATATACCATTAGATGACACACCTATCGCCCCAGACATTCCAACTCTCTTAGACAAAGTTAAAAAAATTTGTTATAACGTTTCCTTCCTCAGTCCCCAAACAACTCATTCACCTCGAACACGCACCTTTCAACCTCCATTTCAGGAACGGACCCGTTTGAAGCCCAAAAGTGCTACCCGTATCCCAGAAGTCGCCAATCTAAAGCACGTTCGGATTACCGGTGCAACTCCTTTAATCTGGCTATACCAAACGGCTTGGGGTGCGTGACGATTCAATCGTGGCGGCAGTAAATAGGTAGGTCGCCAGCCGCCGCAGCCAGCAATATCGCGGCGAATTTGCAAAGAACTCAGCATCCAAGCATTGGGGAATGTAAGATTAGATCATGTTTCCCTTCATGAAACATGGAAATAAGAACCACCTAACCTTTAAAATGCAGTTTCGTTTTCGCTCGCCGTTATTACATACTTATCATATCATGCTTATGTTAGAGCCTTCCTCGCCGCTACTCTGTGTCTTGATACGCAATATTCTTTCCGATTGAACCAGATTATCACTCTCTGATAGAAATTCAGGAAACTGATTAATAAAGAAGTCAAATTAAATCCAAAAGGACAACCTTTACACGGTACAGTTTGTACTGCGAGGCTTAAATCACTGCAGGGATCTTACAGTGACGCTTGCTGGCTTACTGATGTCCAGCACTCTGGTGTTATCAGTCACCTAGCCAACTTATGGGCATGGATGGATAAGAAAAGGTCCACACAGAAATCGCCGCAGCAACTGCCGCACGCGACGATTCTCGCCGCGTGAGCGGCGTGACCTCATTAGCCGACGATTGTATAGTCCGTCGCCCCTTCGGTTTTGATTTGTTTTGACTACTGCGCTGCCAATTTGCCACGTAACAGCGACTCCAAGCGAGCATCTCAAATTGTTGGGAGCTACAACAATATCAGTATCTCATCAGATTGATACACAAAACCAGCCCGTTTCCTGGTTGTTCGAATAACTTTTTCCTACATTTTTCCGTCAGTTTTCATATTCACACGCACTTGGAACATTCGTCCGGAAAGAAGGTTGCAGCTTAGTATGTATACCGCAGATTATGGGTGGCAACCATATCCGACAGCATACGCTGGAACATACCATTATATCGAAGACGAGTACATCCAACTCTCTTCTAGCTAAAACTCGGCATTGTGTGCAGCTTATTGATGCTTATTACTGGCCGGCCCACGAGGTTGTTGGGTGAGCGTAACATTTATAAGTGGCGTCTTAGGCTTTCGACAAGATCGTTCTTCCTCGTAAATCGTAATAAAGTAGTATCGTAGATCGTAACAAAATTACCACCTAACAACCTCGTTGGCAGAATTTCAATGAGCAAAGTTTGACCTGCTTCTAAGGTTTTTGACTGCATAATTTTATATGGTTTTGAAGGTGCCGGATTTCTATGTTGACGCTACTGAAAAGCCATGGTCAGACAACTATAAAATGTACAGTTATGTCAGCAAGGAGCTCCCAGAAGTTGTGAAGAAAGTGCTTCCAATTGACATTGCCAAATTAGGTCGGTTAGCATGGTATGGAACCGTAATTAGTAATTAAGCTTTCTAAAGGACTGGTCTTATACAAGTTTTTCTTCTGTTGTACAGTGTTAGTTAGTTTTTTCTCTTTTAGCCGTCTTCATTTTGTTTTATAGGAATATTCGGTCATAGCATGGGAGGGCATGGTGCTATTTCAATAGGATTGAAACATCCTGACCTGTTCAAGTCGATCTCAGCGTTTGCTCCAATCTGTCATCCTATGAATTGCCCATGGGGCCAGAAGGCACTGAAGAACTATCTTGGTTGGTTGAAATACATATTCTATTATGGCGATTTTGAACATTCCCTTTATGACTGTATACAGGTACTGACACAAAAACATGGGAGCAGTACGATTCATCGCTATTGTTGAAAACCTACAACGGCCCTTCGAGAAAGATACTTATTGACCAGGTTTGGAATAATATTGGTGCGATAATGTGTTTATTGTCGACTGTATTCTATCATATTCAGGGTGCTAGTGACTCATTTTTGTCAGCTGGCCAACTGCAACCAGAATCGCTGAAGTCGACTGGTTCAGTGACGGTGGAAGTAAGGACCCAACCCGAGTACGATCACAGCTACTATTTTATCGCTACCTTCATTGGAGATCACTTTGACTTCCATGCTGCTGCATTAAAGCAGTAGAATCCTTTGATATTATCTACTTGATATTGCCAAGAGACGGATGTGATTCCCTTTGTGATATTAATAACGACTAATCTTAGTTCCGACAGTTCATTACTAATAACCTTTGTTATATTTTTATCTCAGCTTCTCAGCGTAGATTTCCTGCGCCACATCGCTATCGTTGAAATTGAAATAACAGGCTTGCCATATTCCATTGTTTTACAGCGTTTGTAATTTTTCATTGTATGTTTTATCTAATTTTCAAGTTTGTCAGAGTCAGAGTTTGTCATAAAAAGCTTTTGGAAATGATTGGTTCTTTTTTTGAGCCACGTATTCCTGTTCTATCTTGGCGACTGCGACCGTTCTTACGGTCTACGTGGCGTCTGTGTCCTCTCACGTGAAACGTGCTCTCGCTTCTTTCTCCTCGCAGTGCTGTGTCTCTCCGTCGTACCACAAGCAACCTTACAAGGAAAACAAGCGTTTTTACAGTACTTGTACTTTGTGAACCAGTAACGTTCCTCTCGCGCTTCTTGATTAATATTCGAACCAAATAGCACCAGTCGGTCGCGATCCGTGCCTTTAGGTGTGGGAACTCCCAAAAAAATAGATCGAAAGGCGGCTTTCTTGTCGAGTCAACTCCAAGACTGCAATGATGTACATGCCATCTTGGAGTTGAATTCTTCTCAACGAGTTTATATGTATACTCGAACAGTCAGGAGGGAACCGGGTGAAGTACGCCGGTTGGT